GCTTCAGATGGTTGAGTGTCTGCCTCCGACTCAGGTCATGGCCCCGGGCTCTGTGTGCATAAATAAATAAAATCTTAAAAAAAAAAAAATCAAGGCTAGAGGGTATTATGCTGAGTGAAGTAAGTCAATCAGAGAAAGACACGTATCATATGCTCTCACTGATAAGAGGAATTCTTAATCTCCGGAAACAAACTGAGGGTTGCTGGAGTGGTGGGGGGGGGGGGGGGGAGTGGGGTGGCTGGGTGAGAGACATTGGGGAGGGTATGTGCTATGGTGAGTACTGTGAATTGTGTAAGACTGATGAATCACAGACCTGTACCTCTGAAACAAATACAGTATATGTTAAAAAAAAAGAGAGAGAGAGAGAGAAGATAGTAGGAAGGGTAAAATGAATGGGGGGAAATCACAGGGGGAGACAAACCATGGGAGACTGTGGACTCTGAGAAGCAAACTGAGGGTTCTAGAGGGGAGGGGGTGAGGGGATGGGCTAGCCTGGTGATGGGTATTAAAGAGGGCACGTACTGAACGGAGCACTGGGTGTTATGCGCAAACAATGAATCATGGAACACTACAGCAAAAACTAGTGATGTAATGTGTGGTGATTAACATGATAAAATTAAAAAAAAAATAAAGGGAGAGTGTTACAGGCAAAGGGCAAAATCAGGTGCAAATGCCTTGTTTGGGAATGGAATTTTGGGGGCACCTGGGTGGCTCAGTCGTTGGGCGTCTTCCTTCGGCTCAGGTCATGATCCTGGGGTCCTGGGATGGAGCCCCGCGGCATCAGCCTCCCTGCTCAGCAGGAAGCCTGCTTCTCCCTCCCTCACTCCCCCTGCTTGTGTTCCTTTCCCGCTGTCAAATAAATAAAATAAAATTAAAAAAAAGGAATTGAACTTTTTATGCTTGTGTTGTCAGATGTTGTCAATGTCCCCATGCGATTGCCACTTACGCATCAGGACTTTGAATGAATTCCACATGGACATGAGTTAATGGGCGTTAGTGAGACATAGCTACTAAAGTCAGGGTCAGCAAGAGAATAACAGACAGGCCATGGTGGGGCCCTCCTCCAATGGACACATTTGAGATCCAGTTGAGGGAGACTGACCCACTGTTTCTCCCTTCATGTGAAAGATCGAGTACAACAAAGAAGCTTTGTCAGACTAGTTGATGGCAGTCTGATTTAGGGGTGACTTAGACTAGGTACCAGGGAAAATAGAAGTTGTCAATGTATATATTGACAGTAGATACAGCAAAACTTGCTGACAGATTGGATGTGGCAAAGTGGAAGGGGGGGCTTCAGGGATGACTCCTTGGGTTTTGTTTTGAGCACCTGGTAGACAGTAGAGCTATTTACTAAAATTGGATAAGACTAGGGAAGAAACAGGTTCAGATGACACTAAGCTTCAAATCCCAGTGAGTGGGAAAACAGTAGTTACTGGTAAACGAGGTTTGGATAGGGAAACAGAAATGGGAATGAATTGTTTCTGTAACATTGTGTTTGAGGAAGAGGGCTATTCCAGAAGCGCTCAGGAGGTAACTGTTATCATTTCAATTCCATCAACAATCACTAGGAGAGGGATTCAGGTCAGACTCAGGGTGAGGTAATGAGAGCTTCAAAATCTTTCCATAACAATATTTTAGTATCAATGTTGTTCTCCATAAATGAATTGGGAAGAACACATTGACATTTAGGAAAGTTGTGTAATTTTTAAAAATGCTGCAAATCTAATTGTAGCTTTGGGAAAATTCAACCTATTTTAGACGTATAATTCAGAATACATTTACTTTAGGATGAAAAAAAGAAAAGCTTAAAGGCTTCTAACCATGTTTCATTACCCTCTCCTATACCTGTCCCTTTGCTTTTCTTCCCTCAGGCACTTTCTGCTACGCCACTGCCTTCACTAACTCAACCTCCCAGGCTTAATTTGTTTAGTTGTAACCAAATCTTTCATTGCCTCAACTTAATCAGATCACATTCCCTTTTGCTATTTTTCACCATTAAAAAAAAGCTTTTTACAGCTCCACTAATGAAATTATGTAATTACAAAATCTGTAATTTGTGACATCTGAGTGCTTGTTGCTACCAAGCACAATTCTAAGAGCTTTACATGCATTATACCTCAATCCTCAAAATCACAGTCATCATTTTACAGATGAAGAAACTGAGGCCAAAATGGTTAAGGTCATCAGCAAAGGAGCTTAAAGTGCAAAAATACAAGATTTGCTGGCAATAAATGTCTTAATGATTGTTTTAATGGTTAAAATTGCTTGTTTCCTAAACTAGTAACAGGATTAAAAATTACAAAACACAACCTTAATGATTCATTTGAATTAACTATAAAATACCTGCCAATTATTTAATACCTTCTAAAATAACACAAAATATATACGTAATACAAACCTCAATAACCCAGTTCTCCTATTATGCAATTGTTTACAAACTCTGAACTAAGGAAAAGATTTAGCTTAACAGAGTAATTAAAAAACAAATATGCCCTCAAATAATTTTATACTAAGCAATCTATTCTTTGGAGTAGAATTACTCATTTATTACAGTATGTTAATTATATCAATTTTTAGTTATATTTTGTTGGTGTGAATTTAGCCCAGTTTAAATTCCTGTGTGCCTGGTCAAAAATTGACAAGGCAAGAAACAACGAACGTTGGAGAGGTTGTGGAGAAAGGGGAACCCTCTCACATTGTAGGTGGGAATACAAGCTGGTACAGCCACTTTGGAAAACAGTGTGGAGGTTCCTCAAAGTTAAAAACAGAGCTACACCCTATGACCCAGCAATTGCACTACTGGTTATTTACCCCAAAGACGCAGATGTAGTGAAAAGAAGGGCCATATGCACCCCAATGTTCATAGGAGCAATGTCTGCAATAGCCAAACTGGAAAGAGCCGAGATGCCCTTGAACAGATGAATGGATAAGGAAGATGTGGTCCATATATACAATGGGATATTACTCAGCCATCAGAAAGGATGAATACCCAACTTTTACATCAACATGGATGGAACTGGAGATTATGCTAAATGAAGTAAGTCAAGCAGAGAAAGTTAATTATATCGTTTCACTTATTTGTGGAACATAAGGAACAGCACGGAGGACATTAGGAGAAGGAAGGGAAAAATGAAGTGGGGGAGCTCGGAGGGAGAGATGAACCATGAGAGACTGTGGACTCTGAGAAACAAACTGAGGGTGTTAGAGGGGAGGGGGGAGGGGGATGGGTCAGCCTGGTGATGGGTATTAAGGAGGACACATACTGCATGGAGCACTGGGGATTGTACGTAAACAATGAATCGTGGATCACTGCACTGAAAACTGGTGATGTATTGTATGGTGACTAACATAACATAAAATTTTAAAAATAAATAAAAAATAAAAATAGAATGCAAAAAGCTACTAAGAACTTGTAACAGCTTAATATTTCAGATTGACATCCCACCCTACTTATTTTGAAGGTATAGAATTTAATGATGCCCTTTTCTTTTGATAAATGGAACTTAATAACAATGTAAGCATTTTCCTTTCTAAACTGTATAGTTTTAGTCAGTTATCTACATAAAAATCTTACACACTAGTAAGCAAAGCAAGCAACATTACTCTTTTTTAAATAACATCTTTAATTAAAGTTTTTGCAAAGGTAAAATATTAAACTTAAAATAGGTCTTAGTACATCAAAATACTAAGTTCTCTAATTGTATTCCAAGATGGTCTTTAAAACATAATATCCTGTATATCACAGAAGAGCAACCTTGATCTGCAATTGTACAGAATGAATTTTACAAACATAATAAATATATTTACGCCCTTACACATAACAGTATGTACAACAGCAGTTGACAATAGTAGCTCAGAACAGCAAAAGGATTAGCCCCTCCCCCAAAATTGTAGCCCTGACATATACTGGAACGATTTAAGGAAGCTTGACTAAAATAGTAGCTACTAATTCAATGCAGTTCCTTCCCTTAAGAGAAGAAAAACGTTTCTCTTGTTCCTCAAAATAAGCACAAATATTAAGTTTGGTGTGTTCTTCCTTAAATCATAAAAAATGACAAAAGATAGGCTAAGGCAGGCTTAAAAAGGGAATTATAAACTTCAGAATAATTTCCATAGCATAATAGATTAAAATGCAAAACTATTTAATATAAACTCATGAGGAACTATTTAAAGCAACTATGTTTTAACCAATGAATTCAAAATCCGAAATAGCTGACTCAGACAGATAGATGGGAAACAGACATGAATAAAATGAAAATGTACAAAGATGGATCAATAAAATATTCCATTGCACAAAAGTTCAAAAAAGTTCAAGATGAAATAATCTGAAAATATAGGAATTTTCTCAAGTGGAAGAAAATGCTAAGTTATAAAGGGAACTCCCAAGAGGAAATTATGTCTGTTTTCCTGTACAAGGCATATTTACCTTTTGAAAAGAATGGTGACATTATTGCTGTAAGGTAACCAAAAATTACTCTTAGAAGAAGACAACCCTTTTTTATTCCTCCATAGAAGCCAGAAAAGAGAAAACCAAATCTTTGACTTTCAATACAGCAAAAGAAAATCTTTATACAAAAGCTATTATATTTTTATGTTCTTGCTAAAACCAAAATCTATTAGAATATGCTCTTCAAGAACACATTTTAATCACTATACACACCGCTCAGATCCTGATGTATTCCTAAGAATAACATCAAGGTGGCTTTGATTTTAAGAGAGGCAACAATATAAATGTGATATGATGGCATTTAATTAACATAAAGAAAATGTGAACATTTAAAAAAATATAAAAGCCCAATATAAAGATCCCCCTCATATAACAGACATTTTACTCTAGAAACTAATTGCACATTAAAGTTGTTTTAGCCAAATGTGGCTCTCCACAGAAATTAAATGTGCTCTCAGGCAATTCAAATGGTCTGATAATCCAAATGACCACCAAAAAAGAGTACATATACTGAAAGGCACACATTTCCACACTTTACCTAGTAATTTTGTGTAAATTTTCTTTTTTTTTTTTGTAGTAAAAGGTGCCATCACCATCTGTGCAAATCCAAACAAATCCTCTTCTGAAACCTTTACTTATTTTCATAATACCAAGTCTGAACTATTTTCCCTCTTTGAAGAAACATGTTATTTTCATTTTAAAATTCTTGAAAGTGGGAATCCTTGCCTTTTCAAAGGAATGACGAACCTAACAAAATGATTTGTTAAATACAATGTAAAAGCATGATTAAGAATTCAAGTACAGTAAAAGATAAGCAAGTGGCATTCTTACAGCAAGCCACTATAATAAAACCAAAACATTCTATTTGATTAAAAAGGAACACGATGCAGTAATACATAAGAGCCCAATTTGGTATGCAGTGTTGTTTGGACTGGCTTTCAGAATTTTCACAGGTAAAAGAAAAGCATTTGCCAAGTATGCCATAATTAATATGCAATACACAGGTGCAAATACAAATGGTTATCTCCTGCTTCAAAATAACCCTAGTGAGTCACTCTGAAAGCAGTGGTTGTTCATATTTGAAAATAATGTTATAAAAACAGGCCAGTATACAATTCTACTATGAATACAAATGTTTGTCTACATAGAGGGCCCAAAACATGAGCTGTATATCCTATAGTAATCCAAGGTTCAGTAGCAGAATAACTACTATATAGCCAAAGGGTTTCAATCAACATTGCAGTACTGCTAAACTTTTATAGGTAGTTCAGGTCATTGACTTCTTCACTGGGTAAATATAAACCTATTAGCAACTATACTGAAGGACAACTGAACAACAGGACTTCTTTGATTTCACTCCCTCCCTTCTCTTCTCCCAGATTCATTAACAAAAACAAACAAACAAACCTGTGTGTGCTTTGAGAGTAGTGGAGTAAACAAATAAACCTCCCCTCCAAAAAACTAAATATAGCAAAAATTAAAACCGTATTACCAGTTAATGGTATCTGAATAAAACCTAACTACTAACATGCTAGAAACCATCATTTACACCAAAGTTGAGAACATAAGTTAAAGGGACCAAGTTGGTACGTGGGGTGGGAAGTAGGCAAAAAAAAAAGAATTGATTAGCCTTTTATAGATTTGTGTTAAAAAAACATATAATAGCTCACAGTTTTTCTTTGCAATGTAAAGTGTTAATATGTTATTTCTGGAAACACAAAGGCAAATAAAAAGAAGACAAAAATGGAAGACTTAAAAAAAAACCAATATACACGTAACTTAAACACATGTGAATTTTGTGAAGATAGACCATGAAAAAGAATTAGTTATAAGAAAACATAGATGAAGACAAATGTTCCTACAGTTCTCCCAGGCAACTAGTTCACACAGAACATAGCACTGCCATATTGTTCTTTAGACCCCCTTATAGAATACAGAGCTGTGCATTCTTAATATACATATTACATTTCTATTATTCTTAATATACAGTCAAATTTCCTATGCTTTCTTCTCGATGTGCAAACTGGAGCCCATGTCTACATTATCAATGGCCTGGAAGGGCCACCAAATGAAAGAGAGGTAAATATGTACTTAGTGGCCCAACCCCCTCTAACCCACAAATTTCTCCCTCAAATTACAAAGTTGCAATTAAAAAAATTTGTTCAATTAGAATAGTTTTTAAATTCTTTACTAGTAAACACAAGAAACTTTTATAATTACTAAACTGTTTAAAAAAAATCCAGATCTTCACTACCTGCCCAATGCTTCAGTCAATGCACAGAATGTTATCTAAATGTCTGTTTAGCTTAAAGATTAAACACATATATAAGCATATACTTCAACCCAACAGGAAAAAATCTATATCTATTCTTATGTATGTAATTTCAGCTAGATGGTACCTCTGTGAAATAAAACTGTATTCCTGAGGAGCCACTCTGGGGTTTCTTTATAAGGTATGGGACTAAAAGAAACAAATATTTTTCTGTAAGGAAACAAAAGCTGCCATTTTAATTCTGTTCAACTCAATGAGGCCCAAGTTATATTTAATGAGTATGAAAACCTAATTAAAATAATCATTCCTGGGTCAAATTTTGCCTCCAAACTGTGTTCACTGATTACTTCCTTTAACTCTTAAACAGATATTTCATAAAGCAGGGAAGGAAGAGGTATATATTACTGAGAGAATAGCTAGTAAAAATATTTAAGACCTATAATGAGAGTTCTAAATTGTTTCCTTATACAAGTGAATTAAAATTCAACACCATAATTCTTACCCTTTTGTAAAAAGCTCACACGCAATTTTTACCAAATATAACCACATACAATAAGCAGTTTCAGTTCAATCTATCAAAAGGGAATTTTCTTCAGTTCGTTCCAACAAGTATCTTCTGATTGAACCCAAGTTGGAGGAAGGAATATAGACAAAGCTTTACATGCTAATTACTGGTGGCAGGTACCTGTATTTAAAATCAACAATTATGGTTTTCCAAAACCCCAACCTCCCCCACCCCAACAACCCCAGGTGCTACAGTTCCATGGCTTGCCAGTTAGTAGTGTCTGTTGTCAAGGTCTCTTTGTTCCAGTAGCTTTGATTCTACTGCACTTTTCTGACATGCAGAAATTAAGTTTTGGTTGGTGTATGTCCCAAGTTTCAAACTGTCCACTTTAAATTTTTTTTAAGTTTGTTTTATTTATAAAAGAAAAGAACCAATTCTTCACCATTCTGCATCTCCAATGGCTTTGGAAAATATATAATCTCTTCCATTAAGATTCATAATGCCATCCTTGAGGTGAAATTTCCATTTGTTTTTACTTCTGTGTATCTAAATAAACAAAAAAAAGAATGTAAGAAATACAATCAAAAGACAGAGGAAACAAAAAACCCATTCACACACCAAAAAATCTTTGTCTTGTACATTACTCCATTTATAAATTGTTCTTTTAATTGACAGATAATTGACATGTAACAGTAGTTATAGCTGCACAACATAATGATTCGATACTTGTATATATTACAAAATGATCATAAATAAGTCTAGTTAACACCCACCACCATATATAGTTACAATTTTTTTTCCATGTGATTTTTTTTTTTTGAGAACAGAAGAGTACTTTATTGGCACTAATTTCACATTTAGAAAAAGACCCACACCTAGCCATCTTCCAAGTGCCCAGTTTCAGAGACCCCCTTAAAACTGTAGATGTTTCAATTCCACCACTTATTTTCCTACATACAACAAAATAAAGCAATTTATGGTTCCTTGATCTTTCTCTGCAGGAATGTGTAAGACTATCTTCTGAGCACATAGCACCAGTTAGGCAGTTCCGAACACACTGTAGACTCTCATGCAGTGACTATGATGTACTTGCATCCAAATGAAGTGCCATTCTCCCCTAATGTAGATATGAAGCTGTTTCAATGATACTGCCACTGCTGCAAAGTCTCCAAAATTCTTGGATTTGCACCCAGAGGCTTGTCACTGTTGATAAGAATTCCTCAATTATTTAATCAAGGTTTCACTCTCATCATGTGATGAGGATTTTTAAGATCTACTCTTTTAGCAACTTTCAAGTATATATTCAAGTATATATGGCATTAAACTACAGTCATCATGCTGTATATCACACCCCTATGACTTATTTATCTTATAACTTCAAGTTTATACTTTTGACCCCCTTCATACATTTGCCCCAATCTCCACCCTCTGGCCTCTAGCAACCACCAATCTGTTCTCTGTATCTATGAGTTCAGTTTTTGTTTTGTTGTTGTTGTTGTTGTTGGGTTTTTTTGCTTGATTGTTATAGAATCCACATACAAAAGTGAGATCATATGATATTTGTCTTTCTCTTTCTTATTTCACTTGGCATAATGCCTCAAGGTCCACCCATGTTAATCATAAATGACAAGCTTGCTTTCTTATGGCTGAATAATATTATATCATGTGTATATAAATATATACCACATTTTATCATTCATCCACTGATGGACACTTAAGTTGCTTCCCTGTCTTGGCTATTGTAAATAATGCTGCAATGAACATGGGAGGGCATAAACCTTTCAGAGTTAGTGTTCTCATTTCCTTTGAATAACTATTAAGGAAGAAGAATTGCTGAATCATATGGTAGTTCTATTTTGGACTTTCAAGGAACCTCCACACAGTTTTCCTAAGTGGCTATACCAATTTATATTCCTACCAAAAGTGTGTATAGGCTCCCATTTTTCCACAACCACATATAACACTTGTTATTTATCTTTTTGATAACAGTTATTCTAACAAGTATGAGCTGATATCTCACTGTGGTTTTGATTTGTATTTCCCTGATGAATAGTGATGCTGAGCACCTTTTCATGCATCTGTTGGCCATTTTATGTCTTCTTTGGAAAAACGTTTATTCAGTTCTGCCCATTTTTTAAACTGAATTGCTTTTTTGCTATTGAGTTGTATGAGTTCTCCATACATTTTGGACATTAACTCTTTATCAGATATGATTTGCAAATATTTTTTCTGTAGGTTGCCTTTTCATTTTGTTGATGGTTTCCCTTTGCTGTGAAGAAGCTTTATAGTTCAATGTAGTCCTGTTTATTTTTGCTTTTGTTGCCTTTGCTTTTGGTGCCAAATCTAAAAAATTATAACCAAGACCCACGTCAAGGAGCTTACTTCCTATGTTTTCTTCTAGGTTCATGGTTTCAGATCTTACATTCAAGATTTTAACCATTTTGAGTTGATTTTTGTATATGTTGTAACACAGTGGTCTGGTTTCATCCTTTGCATGTGGCTGTCCAGTTTTCCCAATACCATTTATTGAAGTGATTGTCCTTTCCCCATTGTATAGTCTTAGCTCCTTTGTTGTAAATGAATTGAATACATATGTTTGGGTTCACTTCTGGGCTCTTTTCTGTTCCACAGATCTGCTTGTCTGATTTTATGCCAATACCATACTGTTTTGATTCTTACAGCTTTGTAATATACTATAAAATCAGAAAGCAAAACGCCTCTCTCTTTCTTAAGATTGCTTTGGCTATTCAGGGTCTTTTGAATTTTAGAATTATCTGTTCCATTTCTGTGAAAAATGCCATTGACATTTTGATAGGGATTGCACTAAAACTGTTGAATCCGTAGATCACTTTGAGTAGTATGGACACTTTAACAATATTAATTCTTTCAATGAACACAAAATATTTTTCCATGTTTCTTCTTCAATTTCCTTCATCAATGTCTTATAGTTTTCACTGCACAAATTTCATCTTGGTTAAATTTATTCCAAGGGATTTTATTCTTTTTGATGCAATAAATGGAATTAACTTCCCCTTCTGATAGTTTATTAGCATACAGAAATGCAACATATTTTGTATACTGATTTTGTATCTTGCAACATCACTGAATTTGTTTATTACTTCTAACAGTTTTTTGGTGGAGTCTTCAGGGTCTTCTATATATAATACGTGGTCTTCTGTAAATAGTGACAATTTTACTTCTTCCTTTCTAATTTGGTGCTTATTTATTTTTCTTGCCTAACTGCTCTGGCTAGAACTTCTAATACTATGTTGAAAATGGCAAGAATAAGCATTCTTGTCTTGTTCCTGATCTTAAGAGAAAAAGCTTTCAGCTTTTCTCCTTTGAGTGTTGTTACCTGCAGGTTATGTATGTCCTTTCTTATGTTGAGGTAGTTACGTCCCCTCAAATACCCACTTTCTTGAATTCTTATCATAAACAGATGTTGAATTCTGCCACATGCTTTTTCTGCATCTATTGTGATGACCGTAAGATTTTTATCCTTATTTTGTTAATTTGGTCAGTTACCACATTGATTTGTGTATGTTGAATCATCCTTGGATCCCCTGAAATAAATCCCACTTGGTACATGGTCATGGTATATGATCATCTTAATATATTGTTGAATTCCGTTTGCTAATATTTTGTTGAGGATTTTGGCATCTGTGTTCATCAGGAATATTGGCCTATAATTTTTTTCTTGTGGTGCCCTTGTCTGGTTTAGGTGTCCAGGTAATACTGACCTTGTAAAATGAGTTTAGAAGTGTTCCCTTCTCTTCTATTTTTTGGAAAAGTTTGAGAAGGACTGGTATTAATTCTTCTTGAGGAATTTCTTCTTTATTCTGGTAGAGTTCACCAGTAAAGCCATCTGGTCTCATGATGGTTTGCTGGAATGTTTTTGATTAGGAATTTTCCATTTCTTCTAGGCTGTCCAATTTCTTAGCATATAATTGTTCACAGTAGTCTTATGATTCTTTGTATTTTTGTGGTATCTGTTATAATAAATCCCCTTTCACTTCTGATTTTGAGTCTTATCCTTTTTTTCTTGGTGATTCTAACTAAAGGTTTATCAATTTATCTTTTCAAAGAACCAGCTCTTAGTTTCATTGATCTTTTCTAGTGTCTTTTTACTCTCTATTTATTTCCACTCTGATCTTTATTTCCTCTCTTGCTACTAACTTTGGACTTCATTTGTTCTTTTTCTAGTTCTTTGAGATACAAAGTTAGGTTGAGACGTTTCTTGTTTCTTGACATAGTTATTTATCTCTATTAACTTCCTTCCTAAGAGTGCTTTTACTACATCTTGTGAGTTTTGGTATGCTATATTTCCATTTTCATTTGTCTCAAGATTTGTTTTCTCTTTTGATTTCTTCTTTCACTCAATGATTGTTCAGTAGCACGCTGTTTAATGTCCAAATATTTGTGAATTTTCCAATTTTTTTCTTGTAATTGATTTCTAGTTTCATACCATTGTGGCTGGCCAAATTGGTTTTTTGTGTTTTTTATTTTTTTGACAAATTGGTTTCCTTTTTTTTCTACAAGATTGACTGATTGATTTGACAGAGAGAGACAGAGGGCACACAAGTGAGCACAAGCAGGGAGAGCAGCAGGCAGAGGGAGAGGGAGAAGCAGGCTCCCCAAAGAACAGGGAGCCCGATGTGGGGCTCCATCCCAGGACCCTGGGATCATGACCTGAGCCAAAGGCAGACACTTAACCGATTAAGCCACCCAAGCGCCCCCAAACTGGTTTCTTAATAAAGTTAAATTTGACAAAAAACAAACAAACAAACAAAACATCCTATTCACTCAGGTGAGTTTTTAAAGAAATAAATGTATCTGCAATTAGTACTATTTTACAGCTCTTAATACTTGTGCTCATTAATAATACATTTCTCTGCAAAGTATCTTATTTTTGCCAAGTTTATATATACATGTGTCCCTTTTTTCACAGGAAATTTTTTACTGGCAAACTTTTAAAATAGGAATACCCTTTGTTTTCTCTGATGCTTCTAGACCACTGTTTTGCCTTTTCTCCGTAACTCCTTTTATGTCTACACTATTTAACCTTAGGCTTTTTTCATTCTTATCTAGACCACTGGGACACTATCCATTCTCAGTATCGGAATCATGTTTACAACCATCCTCTTCCTCACATACAGTAACAATTTCCATATTGCTAACTCTTCTAATACTATGGTCCAACACTATTAATATCCATACTAATATTAATATTTCTAACCTCTAATTACTTTATCTCTAATTCTACTTTAGTTATCTACAGGACACCTGGCAACTGTTTTCTCAATGGCCACCAATTATCCTCTAGTTTACCACATCAACAGTCTCTTGTTACCTGATTTATTACAATAACTTTCCAACTGATTTCCAGGCTTCACTCTCACCTTCCTTCCATCCCCTCTGCTTGACTATTTCTATTTCTAAATGACCTGGTACTAACTCACCTTCCAAGCTTATTTCCTACTTCTACATTCCTCAAAAACTGTATTTCAATCAAAAGAAGTATCATTCCTTGCTCCCATTTTCACAAATTCAATTCCGATTTCAAGACCCACCTCAAAAATACTGTGTTCTCTCAAAGTGTTCCCTAATCACATGAGCTAAAAGTAGTCTCTCCTAATAATTCTCAGTGTCATTCCCAAACACAAATCTAGTATCATTTCTAAGTATATACAATTACAAAGAATTTCTTCTACCAAAGTAAAACCCCTTATAGTTTTCTCCAAGACCTAACATGGAACCTTACACATGGCAGTATTTAACAAATACATCTGAGGGAACACTGATCATCCAGTCACTTACAGATTTCAAAACCTATGTGCATCTGCAATTAAGCCAAAGGAGGAAGGGCAGTGTTCAAATTGGGCCAGACCCTGGGCACTACCCTCTTTTCTTTCATTTACAGTTTTTATTTGTTTGCAATTCATAGATTTAAGGAGAACAGGAGTTATAAAACTTAATCAACTTAATCAACTGAAATGACCTTTCTTCCCTTTCCCAATAAATCCCATGCTTCATTCAATTTTCAGCTTAAGCTCCATATCTTCAAAGAAGGACCCATGGTTCTCCCTCTTCTCTGATCTAAAGGGACCTCAAAATCAAGTAGTTAAGGCTTTCATTTTCAAAAAAGATAATCACAGCTTGGAGAGGTTCAGTGAATTGACCAGGAGCATTTTGTGCCAGAGATGATTCTCAAATCCAAGACACTTTTTACTAAATCAGGCCATTTCATATAATAATCCAGAAATGCTCACTATGTATAGATATTTTCTGAGAATCCATTCAAATTAAGTTATTCCACTCTGGGCCTGTTCTAAGTCTTTCATACTTCACCCCTTACTGAAATCTTCTTCCTCCAAACTTCTACTTACTGATCCTAGCTCTATCTTCTGGGACTTAATTAAAAAAAAAAAAAAAAAATCAAACAACACTTTATGTATTTGAAAACTACTCTCATGCTTTTCCTCTACATCACTGAGTTAAGTTATATACATGTTTAATATTTATCAAATTTTTCTTCTTATCATAAGAAGATACAGCAAAATAAAGTTAAAATAGCAGTTAGGGCAGGCAGAAACTCTTATGTTAAGTGGTCTTATATTTCTGGTCTAAAAATACACTATGAGATAAGATGTTAAACATAACATTTTAAGATAGATAATTTGAATGTCCAACAGACATACCAAACTTACCATGTTCAAAACTAATTACTCTCCTCACCCAAATGTGCTCCATCTTCAGCCTTTCCTATCTGAGTTGATGGCCTCTCCATTCTTCCTTCTGGTTCCTCATCAAAAAATCTTGAATCATTCTTGATTCCTCTTTTTCTTTTCTACGACTTGTCAAGAAGAGTCAGAAAACCCTGCTGACTCTTCCTTCAAAACATACCCAACATTCAGCTGCTTCTCATCACTTCCAATACTATCCCCCTAGCCTAAGTCACCATTCTCTCACTTGGATTACTCTAATATCCCTCTGTTAGTCTCTTTGCTTCAACTCTGCTTCTTCTACACAGCCCACTCTCAACAAAGAAGACAAAGTAATCTTTTTAGAATTAAAATGTAAGTGATACTACAACTGTCTATTTGAGACCTTCCAATAACTTTCCAATTCGCTCATAAGAGCCCATGTCCTCATAAATTTCCATACCACCTGCCCCACTTACCTCTGACTTAATCTACTAACTATATCCCTTCCCCCTGCATTCCCAGTCCAACCACTCCAGCCTCCACGCCACCCCTCACACAAAACAGGCAGGCTCTGTTACCAGATAATGACAAGGCAAGGCTTTGTTCAAATGTCATCGTCTCAAAAGATCTAACAAGACTAACCTTTTAAAAACTGTAACCTGTCCCCTTTCCTACCAATTATCCATACTAATTATCTGCTTCTAACATACCATAATAATTTATTTATTTATTACATTTTAGCATCTGTCTCCCTTAACTAAACTTCCCAATGGCAGGGATTGTTTTACTTTGTTTACTAGTGTATCTCAACCTCCTAGTGCAGTACCCTGGTATATCACAGACACTCTATTTGTTGAATGAAAAAACCTCTGTCTCCTTTTTTGACTCCCTATAGAGAAAGTAGTAACTATCCGAAAGTGGACACATAAATTTATTTCCAGCATGAACCAAGTGACTCCAACTTGAAAGACAATGGGATTATATAAGCAAGAAAGTGATGAGTAGCCAGGAAAAAGAAATTCCCCAGACAACTAAAGAAACTGATTGCATTCTCCTGTATTGACAACTTGCAAAAAGCAAGTATAGAAAAACTTCAGGATCAAATAGTCCATATACTCAGCACTTCAGAAGAAAGGGCTCTTAAATTTCCTAATGACAAACATATTAAGTAAAATTACCAATAAATAAGGCTGAAGCCTCAACACCTGATGCCATCAGTCCTTATCTATAAGGGAGAACTCTGCTTCATTATTAGGTTTAACTACAATTTTGATTTGACTGGCAACATAAACTTCATTATTCTTTCCATAAGGGTTTCTAAAATTGACTCATTATTGAAATTCTAAAGTTTAGGCTTCAAAAATAAAATCCTAAAATTCAAGTTGACTCAAACCATATCCAACCCCACTGTAATCATTCATAGAACACCTGCATTCTTTATTATTGAGTAAAACATCAGGCCCAGCCCTCAAGAACTCATTTGATTCTAAAAATTAGATCTCTGTGAACTTTAAAGTTGTTTATTACTCAACACACTACTTAAAGCTATTTTAAATTTGTCTAAAACATTAAAATGTCTCTAGGAGCAAAACAAACCAATTTTAACATTTAAAATATTACGTGTACAATTTGTACCAAAGGAGAATACCAAACAAGAATACAATACATTCTTACAATATGAAAATACTTAGGATATTCTTCAATCTAGCTAAGGTAAAGGTCTCTCTTGCCTGATAAATCTGACATCTTGTCATCATGAAACTGTGTTCTGGCTAATTTGGTTGCATGAGGTTTCTTTGAAATTTCCTGACAATATAAGATTTATTGGTATCTATTTTAACATTAATACTCTTTCCATTACACAAGTGTAACAAAAAATTAATTATAACGTCCCTGGTGTAAGGTTTTAAGAATGCTCACCCAAAAGTCACACAGTACAAAAGTGGATCCTCTGATAATTCTGTTTATGAATGACTTCACTGACTTTATTCTGTAATCTCACTGCAAGTAACTGGCTTGACTTTACCTTTTCATTACAAAATGGTAAGATTAATTGTTTTGACATTTCCCTATAGATATGTTTCCAAAAAGTATGGCTATTTAAAAAAAAAAAAAAAAGTATGGCTATTTATATGCAATAAGCACGACTACTTGTAAGATGCATTTCTATAAAAGCAACACAAATGTAAGATTTTCATCATTTGTAAAGGAAATTCATGCAAGGCACAATTTTGCATGATCATAACTACAGCTCCAGTGCCTGGCACAGGCAGACACTCAGTGTCTGTTTAGTTAATGAGTATGCTTACACAAACAAAAAGCCCAATTGCTTGTTAGGGTTTTCATCATTTGGTAAAGACCACTGTTGAAATTAAATTATAAATACAATGTAATTTGTGGATTATAAATTTAATGATTATAGAAAACAATTTTATTCCAAATTAAATGTTTCAATACTTAACAAAATCTCAACAATAATGCCAATAATAACAAAAATATGTGGCAAGTAGCTTCCTTTTGAAGAATTAGGAAAACAAGAATTCAATAGCTAATTCTCACAGGCCTAGTTTAAAAATACCTAAGGCTACCAAAAATATAGCAAAGCTAAATAATTTTAAAAATGATTTTCAGTAAAAACATATCTTTTGTTAGTTAGCAGTCCTGTTTATTGCCCTAGTTATCTCCTTAGTAATAAAAAAAAGTGACAAAATTCAATTAAAGCCTTTTAGTTTTGAGGTAGTTGAAACTAAAGGGAAAACAGAGTTATTCTACTGCGTTATTAATGTTAAAGGACAATACCAAAGTGGACTGTTAACTTTGTGAGTTAGGAGACAGTATAAATTGAAAGAAGCCTATTTCTCCTCATGATTTCATTCATAACATTTTTCAAATGTAAAATAATTTCTCATTTTATTAAAATAATCTACTAAATTATAACACTGTCTACATTCACCCTGTTTATACTGAATATAAGAGGCATCCATCAGCTGCCCAAATGTTTGAAAAAGGTAGAAAAGATATTTAGGGAAGAAACTACAACAGAAAAAATGTCAGTAACCTGATAAAATCCTTACCTTATCATATTGGCATACAACAACATTTTCTGTATCAAAGAGTTCCTGTCCTTCCTCATCACTCACATCATCTTCACTGTTGAGGGGCTCCTACAAATAAGAAAGAAGAGTACTTATTTATACTTCATGTATTATTAGAAAAAGGCCCTTCTAATATTCAAGGAAAAGAAATACAATGACCTTGATGTTCTCTGAGAATGAAGGTTCAGACAGAAGCATATACACAAACACATATATATATGTACCACAAACTTATTAGGACTGCCAATTTTACTGAAATTCCAGTAAGAAATCAAAAATAGTTAAGCTATATAACTTTTAAGTCTGAAAAGATGTTTATTTCCTTCATTCTTTTAGAACAGCACAAGATTACTCTCTCCAATAACTGTTTAAGACGCCTAGAAGGGTACCTAAGAAAATATGAAGGTTTAATGAGATAATGGTACTATGTACCACCAGCAGCAGCAGAGTAAAAAGTAAAAGGGAAAACAGTGGTGAAGTTGGAGGAGGAAAAAAAGGCTATAAAACAGGCTAGTAATCTGACTTGTCTCTATGTGGAGGACTAAGACTCTATTTATAATATCAGCATTTCTACCATTGTGATGGTAATGGTCGAGGCTTGCAGTATAACTAAGGCATTCAGAATAAAAGGATATATGTGGGAAGGGTGAAGTGGAAGGGGGTCTCAGTCCCAAAGAGAATTAAAGACCAAGATCTAACTAAAGCATAAAATGACCAACTATGTTAAATCTGATCTCAGTTATTTGAGAAGATAAAAGATATAACTCAGATTTCTAGTTAACAGAGAAAGAGAAGACAGGACAAAATAAAAGTGGAAAGTAAAATAATCAATTTGATATTAAGTCTAGGCTTATACCTCACACACGTGTGTGTGTGTATTCTTTAATTTAAAATAGGTATCACCAATGTAAATGTAAAAACAATTTATTGAGGTAAAATTCATGTAACATAAAATTCACCATTTTAACCATTTTAGAGTGTACAACCAGTCATACTTAGTACATAAATAATGTATGCAATTATCACCACTATCTAATTCCAGAACAATTTCATCACCTCTACCATTAAACAGTCACTCAATCCCTAGTCCCACCTCTCCCCAGCCCCCCCATTAATCTGTTTTTGGTCACTATGTATTTACCTCTGGATAGTTCATATAAATGCAAACATACGATATACACATACAACATGTGGTATAGTTTCTTTAACTTACAATGTGTGAGGTTCATCCATGTTGTAGCATAGACCAGTACTTTGTTCCTTTTCATGGCTAAATAATACTCCTTTGCATGGATAAATCACATTTTAATTTATTCATCCATCAATTGATAGACATTTGGGTTATTTACATCTTTTGGATTTTGTAAACAGTTTTGAACATTCATGTACAAGCTTTTATTTGAATAACAGTTTTCAATTCTCTTATACTTAGGAGAGTTACTGGGTCATATGATAATTTTATGCTTAACATTTTGAGGAACCACCAAACCCTTTTCCACAGCAGCTACACCATTTTCCATTCCCACCAGCAATGCCAAAGAGTTCCAATTTCCCCACATCCTCACCAACATCTGTTTCCTTTTTTCTCTCTTTTGATTACAGTCATCCTCGTAAATGTAAGTGGTATCTCTTTGTGGTTTTGATATACGCATTACTGTAATAACTAGTGATGTTGAACATCTTTTCACATGCTTGTTGGCTACTTGTATATCCTCCTTGGAGAAATGCCTATTCAAGTCCTTTACCCACTTTGGAATAGAGTTGTTTGTGGTTGAATTTAAAAGTTTTCTATTCTGGGGCGCCTGGGTGGCTCAGTTGGTTAAGCGACTGCCTTTGGCTCAGGTCATGAACCCGGAGTCCTGGAATGGAGTCCCATATCGGGCTCACAGCTCAGCAGGGAGTCTGCTTCTCCCTCTGACTCTCTCGCCTCTCATGCTGTTTCTCTCTCTCTCGCTCTCAAATAAATAAATAAAATCTTTAAAAAAAATAAATAAAAGTTTTCTATTCTGGATATTAAGCCCTTATCAGATAGAGGATTTGCAAATATTTTCTATTTTATAGGCTGTCTTTTAACTTTGTGAATATTGTCCTTGGACATACAAAAGCTTTTAATCTATTAAGTCTGTTGTTATTTTTCTTATTGCTTGTGCTTTTGGTATCATATTTAAGAAACTATTTCCAAACCCAGTGTTATGAAGCTTCTGCCCTATTCTAAGAATTTTACAGATTTAGGTCTTACTTTTATTTATTTTTAAGATTTTTATTTATTTATTTGACAGAGAGAGACCGCGATAGAGGGAACACAAGCAGGGGGAGTGGGAGAGGGAGAAGCAGGCTCCCTGCTGGGCAGAGAGCCTGATGTGGGGCTCGATCCCAGGACCCTGGAATCATGACCTGAGCTGAAGGCAGACGCTTATCGAATGAGCCACCCAGGCACCCCTAGGTCTTACTTTTAGGTCTTCGATCCATTTTGAGTTAATTTTGTATAAGGTGTGAGGTAAGGGTCTAATTTCACTGTTTTGCATGTGGATATTTAGTTGTCCAAGCTACGTTTATTAAATAAGACCATTCTTTTCCTACTGAATAGTCTTGACCCATGTAAAAATTTTGTAAGATGACAGCATACAAACAGTATTCCACATAAAAAAAGACACACCTAGGGGCGCCTGGGTGGCTCAGTCGTTGAGCGTCTGCCTTCGGCTTGGGTCATGATCCCAGGGTCCTGAGATCAAGCCCCGTAACGGACTCCCTGCTCCATGGGAAGCTTGCTTCTCCCTCTCCCACTCCCCCTGCTTGTGTTCCCTCCCTCGCTGTGTCTCTCTCTGTCAAATAAATAAATAAAATCTTAAAAAAAAAAAAAAAAAGACACACCTAAAGCTTAGGGATCCAAAAAATGTGAAAGTAAAAGAATGAAAGGAGCTATTCTAACTGAAACAAAGTTGGTACGGTTCTATTAATATCACACAAAACAGACTATATGGGTAAAAAAAAAATTACTAGAGATAAATAGCAGGAAACTACATAATCATAAATGGCTCAATTCACTGGAAAGTATACGTTTAAGCTTATGTGCATCCATTTTTAGGTTCAAAATATAAAAAGCATAATGACAAAACAAATAAATATACCATCATAACAGGAGATTTGAACCTATCTCACTCACTAATGGATGATGGTGTAAGCACACAAAAAATATGAGTAAGGATATATAATATCCCAAGAATTTAATTCTAATTGTACATATAGAAGACAACCAACAACTGCAAAAAGTCTTTTCAAATATACAGGAAGCATATGCAAATACTGACCACATAAAGCAAGTCCCAATCAATTTCAAAGGTAGTCCCTCATACATTACACAGATCATAACTCTATAAATAAAACTTAAGTCAGAACAAGAATTAATGAAATAGAAAAAAATACACTAGAGAGAATAAAGCTAAAAGTTGATTCTTAAAAAACATTAATGAAATCAACATACCTCTGGCTAGACTGAATAAGAAAAAAAGAGCAAGAAGGCACAAAATCAGAAATGAGAATAAAGAAAATGACTACAAAGGATTCTGGAATCAAAAAGATGACTACCATTAACTTTATGCTAACTTAAAAATTTACATATATAGCCTAGAAAAATAAAATTTATCCAAACTGTCTCAAAAAGAAATACTTGAACAGAATAAGGACATTACTGGAATCACATAATTTTAGCAGCATGCTCCAATATTCACAGAATTAAGTATATCTTTAAAAAAAAAAAAAAAGTCATCCAAGGAAGACAGAGCACTCACCAGAATTCATTTTATAATGCTATCACAAACCTGAAAACCTAGCAAGAAGAGTATGAGAACAGAAAATCACAGACAGTACATGAATGTACATGAAAAAGTCCTGAACAAAGTGAATTCAGGAATTCATCAAAAGGGTAATACAGAATGATCAAGTTGTGCAATCCAACGAATACAAAACTGGTTATAAGTAGAAAACCGATTAGTGCAATTAGTTATTAAATAACAGATTAAAGGATAAGAAATTTTATGATTATCTAACAGTTGCAGAAAAACTAACAAAATTCAACATTCATTTAGAATTTAAAAAACAAAGCAAAGCTTAGTTAATTTGAACAGAAGGGAACTTCTTTAACCTCATAAAAGATGTCCATAAAAAGCCTATATAGTAGGGCATCTGGGAGGCTCAGGTGGTTAAAAGTGACTGCCTTCAGCTCAGGTCATAATCCTGGAGTCCCAGGATCGAGTCCCACATGGGGATCCCTGCTCAGTGAGTAGTCTGCTTCTCCCTTTCACCCTCCCCCCTCTCTCATGCTCTTTCTCTCATTCTTTCTCTCAAATAAAATCTTTAAAAAAAAAAAAAAAGCCTATAGTAAACATTATACTTAATAGTGAACCATAGAAAGGCTTCCTTTTAAAATTAAGAACAAGATAAGGCTGCCTGCTATTTCTAATTAATATTGTTCTAGAGGGCTAAGCCAATGAGGCAAGAAAAACTTCCATGTTTAATATTTGTCTATAGAGAAAACATGAAAGACTCAAAGATGCTAAATCTCAACAGTAATCAAATTAAAACCAAAAGGAAACACCATTTTCTACCTATTAGACTGGCAAAAATTAAGAAGTCTGACGATATTAAGTATTGGTGAAGACATATTAGTACAACAATTTGGCATTTTATCGTGAAGTTTAAAACGTGCCTGCCTTAGAATCCAGTAATTCAATGGTTAGGTATAACACTTTAAAAAAAGTCATGCATATGTGTCCCCAGAAGACACACTCCAAAATATTTTATAACTTTAAGAGTAAACAAATAGAAATAACCCTAATGCCCATCACATCAGAAAAGAAATGGAGAAATAAACTATGGTATATTCAATTGTGAAAATAACCAGTATGTACAACTTAGATGAACCTCAGAAATACCACCTGGGGGGGGGGGGGGGAAAGGCAATCAACTTGCAGAAGAGTAGAGAATTACTCCATTTATGTTATAAATGGGCATTCAACACCAAACACTATGCTCTTTAGGAATATAAATACAGATGGGAAACATGAAGGCAAGTTGATGATAAACACACAATCCATGAGCACGGTTACTTTGATGACAGAAGAGGATGGGGGCTGGGGAGAGGTACTCAGGGGAATTTAATAAAATAATGGATTATATGTTTTTTAAAGATTTATTTATTTAGAGAGCGCACTGGTGAGCAGGGGGGAGGGGCAGAGGGAGATGGAGAGAGAGAATCTCAAGCAGACTCTGAGCTGAGTGTGGAGCTTGATGCTGGACTCAATCCCATGACCCTGAGATCATGCATGATCTGAGCGGAAACCAAGAGGAGGACCTTAGCTGACTAAGCAACCCAGGCACCCCGTAATGGGATTATTTTTAACTAGATGTGGACATAAGGGTGTTTTTATGTTAAAATATTTTTTATTCATTTGTATCTATTCAATATTTAATGAAACAATATTTTTTAAAAACATTAAAGAATTTTGTCCTAAAATAAACAAAATTACATCTTAAGTTGAAGAAAGCAATTAAAAACAGAAAACAAACATCTTGAGGGGCGCCTGGGTGGCTCAGTTGGTTAAGCAACTGCCTTTGGCTCAGGTCATGATCCCAGGGTCCTGGGATCGAGCCCCGCATCGGGCTCCCTGCTCAGCGGGGAGCCTGCTTCTCCTCTCCCTCTGCCTGCCTGCTCCCCCTGCTTGTGCTCTCTCTCTCTGTCAAATAAATAAAAATAAAATCTTAAAAAATAAAAAAAATTTTTAAAGACATTTTGAACACAAGTAACCATGCAGGAACACTGAGGAAAACAAAGATATATTTATATGCTTCTAGAAATATATAACTAAAGATGAATGAGAATGGTTTGTTTAACTCAAGAAAGACACTAAGAGTAGATAAAATGATGTAAGGAACTAGTATAGAATACAGACCAAAAGGAAGTAATGAATAAGTCTGTGACATTTAGCTTTTTCCTCAAGTCTCCTCTCTTCCCAGATGTTGCCATACCTTTTTAATTATTGAGGCAAAGATTAACCTCATTCTATCTGTTCTACCAATGTCTTATGCTTAAATCACATCATGAATGCATAAGCCAGAAAATTAGAATTACTTGCACTCTCTCCACCCCCTTTATAAATACAACTCAATATGATATACATTTATTTTTTATTACTAGCTATAAGAAACAGTAATTTATGATGATAAATACAACCAGAACCATTTAAACACCTTATTAGAACAATCTAACTTTATATTTAAAATCCTATATTGTGTAACAGCTTAACAGCCTCTGAAAAAAATAGAATATAATTCATCAGTTTGGCACCAAGTAAAATAAATGATTGAGTGGTTTCTCATTTCAATTCTTTTACTACAAACTTACTTCTTCTACCTGCCCATCCTCAGCTCCATCTTTCTCTTTGTCTTCCTCCTCATCATCATCATAGTCTTCTTCTTCATCTTCGTCTTCTTCAGATGATGTATCCCCAGTTCCATCAACCTGTAACACCAGTGGGGCTTGTGCTTGAGCAGGCTGGGCCTGTGGCTGCTGCTGGCCAGCTGCAGTTATCTGTGCTTGCGCGGGTGTAGGTGCAGCCACCGTTGTAGGTATAACTTGAGTCTTATTTCCTGTAAATAAGATTTGTTGTGGCTGAATGATGACACCCGTCTGCGGTGAAATCCCTCCAGGAAGAGGGGCCAGTACCTAAGCCAAAAGAAAACCATATTAAAGAAACCAGTAAGAGTACCAAGTAGCCCAGTTTCATTTTGTGGTACAGAGAAATAGGCATAAATGCTGAAGAATCACCAAAAATGGCCATATCTCATACGGTTAAAAACCACCAAAGCATAAAAGGAGTTTAACTAGTATAATGATCCCACTTCCATTTTACCATTCAAAGTTCTGAAGGAAAAAAAGATTTTCTGAAAATATTTACTGAGCACCTGCTATGTACATGGCAAATTCCAAACCAAGAGTTACATGTATGATTAATTTATTTGCTTGATGTATGGACAAGTTTAGTAACTTGCCAAGCTTGTAGTCACTAAGAGGCAAAATTTTAACCCAGGCTTTCTGATTCTGCCCTAATTATTATGTTGCACTGCCTCCCTGTGGAGAACACTGCACTGAAAATGTGAAGTCTTGGGCCCCAGTTTTGTTTAAGATCCCAGGTTGAGATACAGCAAAGGCATGTCACTTAACCTCCTTTGGCTTTCGTCACTTCACTGTGAAACTAGGATCAATGGTTCTCAACCCTGGCTGCAAATTACAACCACCTGGTAGCTTAAAAATACTGGTACTTGGGCCCCACTCCTAGTATTCTGATTTAATTGGTGTGAGATGAAATCTAATCATTTAAAGCTCTCCAGCTGGGGCGCCTGGGTGGCTCAGTAGTTAACCATCTGCCTTTGGCTCAGGTCATGATCCCAGGGTCCTGGGATCCAGCCCCGTATCCGGCTCCCTGCTCAGTGGGAAGCCTGCTTCTCCCTCTCCCACTCCCCCTGCTTGTGTTCCCTCTCTCGCTGTGTCTCTGTCAAATAAATAAATAAAACCTTAAAAAAAAAAAAAAAAGCTCTCCAGCTGATTCTAACCATGCATCCACACCAGATCAGATGATTTCTAAAGTTCCTTTCTGCTTCTGCGTCTAGAATTCTAAAGTAAACCATAACTCAAAAAGAACATATTAACAAATATTAACTATATCTTTTAGAATAAATATATTTATAATTATATGTATTAATAAATAAAAAGAGAATACCTAGTGATAAATAAAAAACAGTGAATGGCAATTACTTGCCTTTAGGTTCAAGGAATGCAAAATAAGACAGTATTTCCCTTAAGAAGTTTACGTTAATGGTGCAATAGACAAAGCAGTAACACAACTCAAAAGATAGGTGTAACAGAAGTATATGGTGTTAAGAGAACACAGGAGAGAGGACTAAATTCAGCTTGAGGCACAAAGTATGGTCAGGGAAGCCTTAATAGGTAAAACTTGAGTTCTTTTGTGCTTGGAAGATTAGCTAGACTTTTCCATTTGGTTGCTTTTTTTTGTTGGGGGCAATAAAGGGAGTTGCTAGAAGGAAGGTCAAAGGGCATTCTAAGTAGAAGAATAGCATCAACCTAAAATCTGGACAGCTGTAAATCGACTAGATTAATGCTTCTCTGACCTTACCTCTATCACCATACTATAATATGGACATTACGTAATGTGTCTCTTTTTTAAAGTACCTAAGTTCTTTAAGAAAATAACCATTTCTCTTTCTTCTTTGTCCTCATGGTACAAGAGTTTTAACACCCAGCACAGAAGTAGGTACAAAGATCTAACTTTGATCTAAACAGCAGCTGAAGCAGATAGTTGGAAGCATGGCAAGAAATAAACCTGAAGAGATCAAAAAAATAAGATCCATAAAAAAACAAAGATCCTATGAACCATGATGAGGAGTTTTAGACTTTTTCCAACAGGCAATGAGAAGTCATTAAAAGATTTTAAGATTTTTATTTTTATTTTTTTATTTTTTTTAAAGATTTTATTTATTTATTTGAGAGAGAGAGAGTGAGAGATAGCACAAGAGGGAAGAGGGTCAGAGGGAGAAGCAGACTCCCCGCTGAGCAGGGAGCCTGATGTGGACTCGATCCCGGGACTCCAGGATCATGGCCTGAGCCAAAGGCAGTCGCTTAACCAACTGAGCCACCCAGGTGCCCAAGATTTTAAGATTTTTAGAACAGTAACTATAAAATACAGAGTAACGGGTTAGGAAGCCTAGGATTAGAGTCAGGGAAATTAATTAAGAGGATAATATATAGTATTTATTTATACAGACAGACACACACACACAAACAGTATATATAGTATATATACTATTGAGAGAATAATAATAGTATTTTAAGTGGGAAATTAGGAAAGCATGAAGTAAGGAAATGATGAGAAAGTCCGAGAAAAGAAAACTAGTTTCAAACATTAAGGAACTGCAAACATGTTAAAACTGCAGTCTGGAAAAAAGGAACTATTAAAAATTGGTAGGATTTCATGATACTTTGCATATTAAAAATGCCTAAGTTTCATGAAACTGGATTCATGTCTGCCTTGTTCACTCCTAAATCTCCAGTCCCTTGCAAAGACTCTGATACATAGCCACATAGTAAATGCTTGTTGAATGAATGCCAGATAACTCGGAGGCTGAGGAAGCTGGACGGAGGGTGGAGCCACTGGCAGAAAAGCATATTCAGAGGAATGATGAAAGATAAACAGGGAAACAATTTAGTCTTAAATATATTAAATGTAAGTTAAGCTGTAAGGTATACAGGAGGAATTTACAACAACAGGATACAACATTGGAGAACAGTCTAAGAATTCGTAGAGATAAAGCCATGGGAAAGGGGACAAGAACCACCCAGAGAATTTATACAGAAGAAAAAAGAACCCCCCATCATGATCATAACTTATTATTCTATTACCTGTTGTATAACAGGAGCTTGTACTCCACCAGGCTGCATTTGTGGTATAACTTGTTGTTGGAGAACCACTGATTGCTGAGGCTGAAAGATATACTGGGCACCATTGGCTGCTCTGACTACTTGAAGAAGCTGGCCTAAAGCAGAAAGTATGTATTACAAGTTACCATTTTAGCAGTGACCATCTCAAAAAAATGAATTCATAATCAATGTCAAGCCACCAAAATCCCCTAGAAATGATCAAGCAAGAAGTCTAACAATTAAGGGCTGCCAGACACAATAAACATAATCCTCACCTTCTCTCAGTTCCCTCCATGTTCAAATACATTGCTTAAAATGTTTTTCCTTACTCATCATCCCTATAAAGCTCTTTTCCAATAAAGTTTTAACAGATTATGAAAGTTGATTAGAAGTTTAAATTATCTTTACTAACATGTTAAGAGTCATGTAAGAGCAGTAAGATCATATGTTTCAAGGGCTGTTTCTTTTGAAAGCTCTGAAGACATCAAAGTGTAACAGTTCATTAATATCTTGAGCCAAAGCACCAGGATACTTAGCTTCAAAATGCTTAAAACAAAAGTTTGCTGAACCAATTATCATTGCCACATAATACTGAGTGTATGCCTGCCTTAAACACAGAGAAGTGAATCCCTCTCTTTATTGTTTTAGATGATACAGAATCTTCAATTAATTAAAAAGCAACAATTATATATTAATAAAATATGTAGCAAGATAAACCTCTAGTTCTTTAAAAATTTAGAATCTTATTAACAAAATAACAAGAAATTCTATAATTAAAATTAGAGAGAATACTTAACATCCATGTAAATAAATTCTTCCATTAATATGCCAAAAATCACAAGTAAAGTTTGTCATTCTATGCAGAGATATTATGTAAAACAGAATGCAATAAAATACTATAGGATTTAGTTTGATATCACAAATTCATTCAAATAAGTTTAACTTATATGGCAGGTTAAATGTGTTTAACAAAAAAATATGTAAATATTTCTATATAATCATACTTATTCAGTAATAGGATTCTCATTCACAGATCAAAAGCTCAAGCACAATTTTCATCTTCTCTACTACAGCCTCAGCAGTAATTATTATTTAATGTGCTACAGTACTCAATATTTTTTAATAACCTAAGTCAAATGATAAAAGAAATACTGACTTTGTCTTTCTTTGAGGCCAAAACAAAGACTAGATGTTACAATTTTCTGAGTTATACATATAAATAATGGTTCCGTTACTCCTCATTACCTGAATTTGTTAATATCTGCTGAACAGGTGTCACACCTGCAGGGAGTGCCAAGGTAGCAGCTGTAGCAGCAGCACTCTGAAAAAAACAAAGGAAAAACAATCAAAACCACATATGTGCATAACGGTACCTCAATTTATCTCTGGCACATTTTCATAGTATTTGAAGTTTATCGTTTAGTATATACCAAAATGAAAAGTTTTAACAAGACTAAATCCCATTTTATAAAATGATACAATGAAGATCATCTAGCCTAAATGCCTTACTTAAGTACTTCAATGAAGTAGAATAATATAATTGGGGTGTTTTTTTCCCTGGAGAATGCGCTCTAAGGAAACCTCACACATACATACTGACACTGCCATACAATTATAAAATATCCATTCCATTATTTCTTTTCCTACTCTATATCCTCACTCCCAATTCCCTGTTGTCAATTACAGTTGACCCTTAAGCAATGCAGGGGCTAAGGGCACCAACTCTTCACACAAGTGAAAATCCACATATAAACTTTTGACTTCCCAAAAACTAAATAGCCTACTGTTGACCAGAAGCCTTACCAGTAACATAAATGGTCAATTAACACCTATTTTGTATGATATATATATTATCTATTGTATTCTACAATAAAGTAAGCTAGAGGAAAGAAAATATATACCTTATTTATCGAAAATAACCATATTTATATCAAAAAATCTGCATATAAATGGACCCATACAGTTCAAACCCAAATTGTTCAAGGTCAACTGTAATATACTTTAAGTATATTAACAGTATATACTGTAAGTATCTTCATTTTAGAATTCTTAATATTTTTAATTTATACCAGAATCAACAGGGCTTTAAGGAAAACCTTGTATCAGAAGGCTGAGCTTGTAGAGCTAGCAATTCTACGATGCCCTAAGATGACAATATTGGCACTATATGTAGGTGAAACATACATTAATAATAGTTTTATTAACACAAAAAACATCTAAAAATCTTAAAAGTCACCAACTTTAATTTCTACATTTTAAAATGGAGATAGTATCTGACATTTAAGTCAAAAAAAAAAAATACATGGGTGTACTCTGAATCTCTTTAAATCCAGGATAAATTTTTCATTTACTGCTTCTGGAGACTTCTCCCCCCTTTCCTCCAAAAGAATTACACCACATTTTTACTGTTTTTTTTAATTCTATACTCAAAGTAGTTCCATGCATCTCACTGTAACTATATATAGAGGTAATTTTTCTCCCTCATCCTTCAATCTTTTGAAAGGTACCAAGTCTTCATATACCAATCTAACACATACATTTTTAGAAACACCTCTATTTGGTAAGCTCTGAGAAATAAATTTAACTGTGCTCTGAAGATGCTAATGCCAGAGAAGTCAACAATTCTTGGAAAATTATACGCAAGTAGGTTCATGACACTACTATCTAGTCTAGACTCCACATACAGTGTTCTAAGAAAATGTGCTTCTTGTTGCCATTTGATAGACCTAACTAGTTTCTACATCTAAAGCCTCAAATTCCCACTATGTCCCCAGAATCCAGCTATAGCCCCACCAGGTTCTTCTCATTTTTAAATAAATCTTGTCTGTACAGACAAATGAAAGGTAATTTAAGTCTAAGGAACACATTAACAACCACTTACTACTGAGAAATTCTATTCAGAAATATTAATATTCAGATTTTATAAGATTAATAGATCTCCCTCTACTGGCAAAATGACAACTGTAGTTTCTACACAGCATACATGACAAAATAATCACCTGCACACCTCTGCACATTCAAGATGCTATCAATAAATATCTGTTGAGTGACATACCATACACAAACCATCTTTTATCAATGTCTACTGAAAATTTCTTCTTGTATTTTATGAAACAGCCTTAAAATGAATAATGCATTAGAGCAATTATTTCAAAAGAGAACCTGCAAAACTGGTTTGATATAAGGTCCTGTTTTGTAGGTTCCCTGAAACAGCTTTCTCCCTAATATATTATCACTATCCTACATTCTTATTAAAGTACATAACTTTTCAATGTTCATTTCCAAAGCATGCCTAACTTTTAAAAAAATCAAAACTGGAATAAAATCTTGCCATCTGCAATGACATGGATGGAGCTAAAGTGTATTACATTAAGTGAAATAAGTCAGTCAGAGAAAGACAAATACTGTGTGATCTCACTCATATGTGGAATTTAAAAAAGAAAACGGATGAACATATGGGAAGGGGGAAAAGAAAAAGAGGAGGGAGGAAAAACAAGCCATAAGAGACTCTTAACAAAAGAGAACAAACTGAGGGTTGATGGAGGGAGGTGAACAGGGAATGAGCTGAAGGGGAATGGGTATTAAGGAGGGCAACTGTTATGATGAGCAATGGGTATTGTATGTAAATGATGAATCACTGAATTCTACTCCAGAAACCAATATAGCACTGTATGTTAACCAACTAAAATTTAAATTAAAAAAAAGAAAATGGAAATCAATCAATCAATCAATCAATCAAATGGGTATCTTCGACTCGGGAATAATAATTCAAACAAACAAAACCAAAAAACTTTTATTTGTAAAGAACCTACAGTGACTATACTTCAGAACATATAAAATACATGGAGCAAACACTGAAAACATCAACTAAAATACTAAAATACACATAAATGCCAACACCTTTTATTGATAGATGTTTCTGATCTATGATCTGTTTAAATACATGCTCTTCAAAATCAAGGAGACATAACAAGTAAGAGAAGGACCACTAATTTTGCCCCAGTCTCTTTAAACACTATTTTAATTCAAAATTTTCTTTCAAACACTTAAAATTCTTAGAAATCAGATGGGCCTACTGCAAGTCATTCTACAAAATTTTCTGTTTTAAAAGGACAAAAGTCAGAGCGCCTGGGTGGCTTGGTGGTTTAAATGGCCGATTCTTGATTTCGGCTCAGGTCATGATCTCAGGGTCCTGGGATCAAGCCCTGTGTCTGCCTTTGTAGTCAGCAGGGAGCCTGCTCCCCCTCCCTCTGTCCCTCCACCTGTGTTGTGTGTGCGCATGCTCTCTTTCCTTCTCTGTTAGATGAATAAATAAATCTTAAAAAACAAAAGGACACAAGTTATTCCCTAGGAAACAGTCTCAATAGCATAAACTGCAATATAGATCCTACAGTGAGACTTTCATTTTTAAGAATGGAGGTTAAGAAATTTGGGGCCTTAGACTTGAAATGGAATTTTCTGAATGATAAGAATTCTTGTGATTCCATGATAGGCTGGAATTTTGTGATTTTTATGAAGAACTGATTCCAGCAATCTGAACTACAAGGACAAATAGATATCCTTGATTCTTTTGTGAATTTAAAAACTGTAATTTCTACTATCATGTAGAAATTTGTAATTCTGTAAAGCTATAAATTTGTAAGGCTGGTATATTTAAAAAAGGAGTCATTTGTCTAGTACGTAAGCCCTGTTTCCTATCTGGCTTATCAATCACAGATGAGCTTTGAGGTTAAACTACTCATTACTCACCAAACAGAAGTGATTTTTTAAAATACTGCTTTTTCAGGGCACCTGGGTGGCACAGTCGGTTAAGTGTTCAACTCTTGGTTTTGGCTCAGGTCATGATCTCAGAATTGTGAGAGCAAGCCCTGAATCAGGCTCTGCCGTTCTGTGTGGAGTCTGCTAAAGATTCTCTTTCCCTCTCCACGCCGCCCCCACCCCTCTCTCTCTAAAATAAATAAATCTTTGAAAAATATATATTTTTGCTTTTTCATTAAAAAAAAGATCTGGAAAAAATCTCATTGCTAGCAGTAAGAGATTTTTATAAAAAGTGACTCTTGCCTTTAAATGAAAGATTTGAATGTATTTAAGAATGTCAGAGGTGAGACTCCACTAACAGTCTATTTATTGTAAACAAAGAGAAGCCATTTATGAGAAAGTGCTGGAATAATTATTCTAATTTAAAAAACTTTAAGTATATAGGTAAAGATTCTCTAAGAATCTGAAGTAATTTTTCTAATTTTAGTTATATGGTACTATATTTGATGGAAAATACTACATGCCCTAAATGAAATTTGAAAATTTGAGGACTTAAATGTTCAGTGAATATCCCTTAGAAATACCAAAAGACTAATGCATAATAAACTCAACTGGTTAAAATGTATTTTAAAGTAATAATATACACATTGTAATAAATCTTATTAAGCTATGCTATGGTTAAATCAGAGCAAAAATTTTTAAAGGTTTGGTCTTAAGAACAGTTACCCTGAACTATCCGAACAGTTCATTTTCATTTTTAAAGTTTATAATTCTTAGCATTCCTGACCTCTAGTAATTAATGGGTCTTCTGAAACAACTATAATTGGCACATTATGTTTGGCAGGTCCCCTAAACCCATTTTCCAAAAATAGCTTGGGATGAAATAGCTCTCACAAAGCATCCTTCATTTGGTATTTTCAACAGAAAACTGCATAATTTTATGAATCTCTCTGTCTAAATATCAAGTTAAACTTTAGATCTGCTGCTAAATCCAATAATTAGGAAACCAAATAAAACAGCCATTTTGTTCAAGTTTTGAATAAACTTCAGGTTGTTAACACACAACATACCTGGGCATAATCACAATTTTGAGTTAGAATAAGTAGAGCCAAAATGCTATGTTCTGAGTCTTACCATGTTTGATGCATTCATATGTTGTATCAGCTTAGAATCAGGAACTATAACTTGTGGTGCAGCAGCTATTAAAAAAAAAAAAGAGTACAAGTGCAAACAAGGAACCATGAGGCTGTTTCATAATCCTAAGAATACTATACAATGCTGAAAACTTTTTTCCTGTTTTCTGCATTCAAATGCATTCACCTGTTTGATACCTCAGACTGTTACCAATTTCTACAGCAAATAACAGCTATGATATACCCATCTTATACTGGAAAACATCAATTAAAAAAAAAGATTTGAATAACAACACCTAAGGATATAAAGGAATTTGGTAACATGAAGTAGTGAGATACCTAATACATACATACATATATATATATATATATATATATACACACACACACTCATATATATATGTATACACACATACACACAGCTCTGTGCATTCTTAAACTGGAAATTTTCAAACACAACTTAATTGTCTTGCTAACTCAATATTGTTTTGCTGATACACTACTATCATTAAATGAGTTAGTAACCCATTAAGAATGAGCCCCAAAAAACCATTTAACTAGTTGTCTTTAATCTACATAGCCCTCTTCTCCCATTTGACCGTTGCCAAAATCTTAAGTTACTTCCACCAACTTTTTAAAAAATATAAATCAGAAATAATAGCAATGTTAAAAAAAAATGAAAGAAAGAAAGAATGGCAATGTTACGTAAGTATAAAAGGAGTTAAGTGTTTGATTCCGCAAATTTCAGAGAATAAACAGATAATCCCATTATCCTAATATTCTCTGAGTGAAGAAAATCAAATTTTAATTTATGATGACCTAAAATCCTAGTGCCAGGCCTGAAGGCAATAGGAGGAACAGTCATCAAAACAGATCAAAAGGATAAAATTATTTGATGCAGGTATAGAATAAAACCAAATATTAAAAGTCTTATTTGGTATAAACAGTAAAAAAAATCCAAACAGACATTTCTACCATGCATTACTTACTATATATCACTGTCAATTTTAAGTCTTATATATTCTCAAGATACTCTCAAATGAGGCAAATGGGTAACTAAACCGTTACCTTAAAATAAAACTTGTCATTTATCTTCATTCTCCTCTCCAGTAACAAGATTTACAAAACTCAAATGCTAGGGAAGTTTCATAACTGAATACATATGTCTCAAGACAGAAAATACTTATTACATGTAACAGACCAAACTTCCAAGCCTTCTCAGGGCCCAAATTTTCCTTAGCACTGAAATGTTGGAAGAAATGAAAGCCTTTTATAAAGCTTCAGTGAAACAAATCTATAAATTTACTTGCACAGTACAAAGCACTATGGACACACTCTATAAATACTTCGGTTTTTCTTACCTCTAAACTAAGTAAATAAATTAAGATATGCTATATATACATACTCTTCACTTAAAAGAAATCTAATTCAGTCAGTTTACACTTAAAGTATTAGGGAATTGAAATTTCAGACTGCCACACTTACAAAACTCCCCCAGTTTAAGATATATTTATAAAAACCAAACTTAAATGTCTGAAGAAATCAATTTCATAAAGAAAGTAGGTAACGATTTTACCATATAAAATAACGAAACCCTTAGTAATAAATCTTTATAGGTCTGATGTATTTTAGGAAATCCACCATTATGTAGCCTTCTCAAAAGAAAATAGTAATACACTTATATCATCTTAGGCTCTCAATTAGTTAACTACTTGTTTATCATTACTACAATATAGAATCCACGTTTTATACAAAATTTGTACGTAAATACACAGAGTCAATAGAAAGGGAAAACCTACAGTATTTCTCTTCTTTGGAAAATGACAAATTTCATTTCCAAGTTGTAAGCAGAAAAATACATCCAGTCTCACCTTGCTGTGATGCAGGAATAAGGACCTGCTGGGTCTGCGCTTGCTGAGGTACCGTCTGCTGTGGCTGAGTTTGCTGATGGTGGTGGTGGTGGTGATGTTGCTGTTGCTGGGGTTGATGCTGCTGCTGAACTTGCAATAAAAGCTGCTGTTCTTCCGAATGAAATCCATCTACTGCCCTAGACTGCATTAGTTTATTCTCCCACAACTAAGGCAAAGAAAAGTAAGGAAGATTCTAAGTGAATGTTAGTGAAGATAACTCTGAACATATGGACAAACCATATTTTACTAGTCTGTTTATAAAATTCTTTCATTTTCAAAACTGATAAAACCAATCTCTAATAAAATAAACCTCTAATTCTTACCCAAGTATATACAATAATGAAAATTAACTTTTAAAGTATCAAATTTATTTTTTGCTATTTTAGAGTAATGAAGAATTTTGTTTCTTTTTATATCTTCAAACTTTCTTCAGTAATTCCTTAGTAATTCCAGGCAGAATTTCATATAAGCAATTTTTTAATAATCAAAGATTATCCTTTTTTAACATCAAATCAATTCTTAACTATTTTCATGGAAGTCTCCCTTTAATGAAATATCTAATTTTTATTTTTTTATTTTATTTTTTTTTTTAAAGATTTTATTTATTTATCTGAGAGAGAGAATGAGATAGAGCATGAGAGGGGAGAGGGTCAGAGGGAGAAGCAGACTCCCCGCTGAGCGGGGAGCCCGATGCGGGACTTGATCCCGGGACTCCAGGATCATGACCTGAGCCGAAGGCAGTCGCTTAACCAACTGAGCCACCCAGGTGCCCCGAAATATCTAATTTTTAAATTATACATGTAAAACATAAATTCATCCTTTCTTGATCTGAACATTGAGAAACATTACAGAGGCAATTCTGAGGTTAGAAAAGCCTAACTTTCCATCTGTCTGATCCTACACAAGAAAAAAGAAACAGCAATACCTAATGCTTTTAGAGGCACTCTCAACCCTCCACACCTTTTGAAATTTCCCCTATCTTCCATCATCACAAGGAATAACAATCCTTTTCTGCTCTGCCACTTCTCTAGTTTCTCCTCTCACCCTAGGACAGCTATTACGATGGAGAAAAAAAATGAGACACAGGCAAAAGACAGAAGATAAAATATTTATGACTATTTCATACTTTTCCCTAACACATTTCCTCTCTACCAGACTTAGTGTTCAATCTGGAGAACCTCAACCCTTAAAATAAATTGCCCAAGAAAGAAACAAACTATTTTTTAAAATATACAAATGAAATGTAATTCAGTTATTTTGGGGGCACCTGGGTGGCTCAGTCAGTTAAGCGTCCAACTCTTGATTTTGGCTTTAAGCTCTGCAGTCTGTTTGCCCCTCCTGCCCCCCTCCCCACCCCCACTCTTGAGCACACATGTACTGTCTCTCTCTCTCTCAAATAAATATTTTAAAAATAATAATTCAGTCATTTTGTACACAAGCACCTAGCACCTACACACACTGTTTTTTCCCCTAGGATATGCTCGTGGAATACTGCCTAACACACCTGAGACTTCTATGAGATCCTTCAAAAAGGTCCTTTTACCATACTCACAATGATTTTTATCATCTTCCAACACTTCCAACTGTTCTAGAAATTCTATATTTGTAGCTACATGCTAATAACATTTCCAGCATATCGCTAATGGCTTGCTAAAAAAGTAAACTAAAGGTCAATCTCCCAAAGCAACCATTCCCCTTAGCAAGCTCAGTATTTAGATTTGCCTGAAGCCTGTTCTTATAGAGATAGTAACAATCTCTCTCTCACGGGTTGTTGTAAGGACTCAGTAACATATTTGTGCAAAACGTTTATCAGAATCTAGCATAAACTCAGGGAACAATAAATGTTAGTTTTCATTATTACGGTTGTGGTGCTATTAATAGTGTAATAGAGCATTACACCAGAAGTAAGAAACACAGTCCTGGTTTGGCCACTATTCAGCTTTGTGAACAAATTATGTATCTTTCTTGGGCATTTTCCTCTTTATCTAAAAAGAGGACAGGGTGCCTGGGTGGCTCGGTCGTTAAGCGTCTGCCTTCGGCTTAGGTCATGATCCCAGGGTCCTGGGATCGAGTCCCACATCGGGCTCCTTGCTCAGCGGGGAGTCCAGTTCTCCCTCTCCCTCTGCCCCTGCTTGTGTCCCCTCTCTCGCTGTGTCTCTCTCTGTCAAATAAATAAATAAATAAAGTCTTTAAAAAAATAAAAAACAAAAAGAGGACAAATTGAATTACTTCTAAAATCACTTCCAGCTAAGAAATCTAAGTCTCTGAAAAATCTCAAATTAAAAACAGCTAGAGTTCCTCCTAAGGTAACAATTATTTTCCAAGAGCTCAAGTTGTATCTGGTTCATCTCTGTAGAGTGGGCATCTAGCATAGCACATAGGACAAAACGGAAACTTACACACTGAATAAAATACATTCCAACTAACATATTATATACAAAGGCTCCCAAACAGTCTGCATTTACCCAAAACTTCTACACTTCTTTTGTCTGTTCTAAAACAAAACAAAACCTAGCCTCTGGTAAGCCAAAAATCAAGGTACCATTGGATACAGTTGTTTAAACCATGATTTTTAAAAAAATTTTTTAAGATTTTATTTATTTATTTGACAGAGAGAGAGACAGCGAGAGAGGGAACACAAACAGGGGGAGAGGGAGAGGGAGAAGCAGGCTTCCCACTGAGCAGGGCAAAGCACTGTTCCAATCTATCCTTACTGGTATGGCCCTGGTTCAAGTCCTTTCCTCCCACAAGTACTACCATAAAGTGTAATGACTAAGCCCACTGAGCTCCCCACATCAAGTCATAAATTCTGCAAATAATTCCTGAGATCTATGTACTAGACACTACTAGAGGCACTGAGAACAGACAGTGAACAAACCTGACAAAAATCCTCCTCCTCACAGGGTCTACATTCTAATGAAAACTTGCTCTTCCAATCTATCCTCTCTAAATCAGTGGTCCTCAAAATGTGGTCATCAGCATCACCTGAGAACTTGTTAGGCATACTAATTCTCAGGCCCCACGCCAGACCTACTGACTCAGCAACTCTAGGGATGGAGCCAAAAATCTGTTTTAATAACCCACCCAGGTCACTTTAATGCACGCTATTAAAGTCTAAACCAATGCTTTTCAAAGTGCACATTGCAACCCATTAGTAGGTTGTTAAAAGTCAATTTAATTTTTTTTTATTTTTTGGTGTATGTTATTGAATTAAAAAGAAAATGTCAGACTGTGCCTCAATCAGGTCAGACTCTCTGGAGCAGAGGTCCAAAAATCTGCATTTTAACTAGCACCCCAGAGAATCTTTCTCACATAAAGATCAAGCTCCTTAATACAGAATTATGTTACTTCTCTGCTACTATAATTTGCATTCTACTTTCCTAACAGTGTCCAAGTACTTGCAGTTCCCTGAATATACCATACATAGCTCATGTCTAAATCTCAGTAAACTATTCCCTGACTAGCAGTCTTCCCTCACGATTCCCTAAACAATGGTAACGTCTGTCACACAGCCTCAAGAGAAATCACTCACTGCCTCCAAACCCTAGAAATATTTCTATCATACTTTTCACACTAAGTCTACCTTCTCTACTGAAGTATGAACTCCTTCAAGGCAGAGACTTATTCAGGAGCTAACAAAATGACTAAGAACTTATCAGACATTTAGTAATTTCAAAGAAGAAGAGGGAAAACAAACTTGTTTTCTAGCATAATGTTTCTCTGTAAGGATGCTACTGACATTTTGGCCAGGACAATTCTTCATTGTATAGGGTAGTGCCACAGGAAGTGGACAGAAAAAACAACATTCCTGGCTGTAGCCGACTAAATGCCAAAGGTGCCCACTAGTCATTAAGACAAGCAAACATGGCCCCACACATTTCCAACTGCTGGGGTTTGGTAAGGAGCAGAGGAAAAAGGGGTGTTGGAGTAGTCTATTGAGAAGCCACATTTACTAAGTACCAAATACTGTCCTAGGTAACGTGAAAAATACAAATATAGTACTGTACAAATACTTAGCATTAAACTTATAATATCAAATAATATAAAGTTCAAATCGGCTAAATGTTTTGTTTTAATCCAATTTATTTTAATTGTATTTATCAAAATACGCTGTTTTTTAAATATCAGCTATTTAAAATAACAATGCAATACTGTTTTTGGCAACAGTAATCATGTTAATACTACTGACAACAATCAAGAATACTGAATTGTTACATATTTATTTATTTTGCTTAGGAAATAGAAGAACTCTATTTTTATAATACTATTTTCCCTCCAACACAGTAGCTATTATTTCTGTCAATCCTGTTTCATCAATCTTTGCCAGGTCTCTGAAATTAGACATGGAGAAAATTCATTTTCTGTTCCCCAAATGGCTATAATGTACATCTATAGATCATATTAACTAGATTAATCCTGTATTGTATTCTTACTGTGCACTTTGCGAGTAACTTTACACGTACAGACTCATTTTTACAAAATCCTGTAACGCATTGTTATTATCTCCTTTTTACAGAGAAAAACCTGAAGAACAGTTAAGTAATTTATCCAAGACCACCAACAGGTAGCAGACAAAAGTGGGAAATAATCCAGGCAGTCTGACTCCAGTGTTCCCAGTTAGGGAACCTGGATGCTGAGAGTGAAGACTGAATGTTCTTTAAATTCTACACCCCAGACCCCTCGCTTGCCTCATCCTAGTCCCAGCTCTGGTCCAAGTTTTAATCTCTACACTACATTGCTGCTATCACAAAAGGTCTAGTCACAATTCCTTTTTACTGGTAAGTATTGTATATGTCATCTGGAGACAAAAGGCCTACATTCAAGTCTCTACCATTTGCTAAATGACCTTATCAAAGGATATTCCAAGTCTATTTTTTGATCTATAAATTTGTGATTAAATCTACTATTTCCTGGCAGTTTGCCAGGCTAGAAATTTGAAGAATTCTACTTTCACAAAACATCTAGCTCCTGAATAAATACAAGAAAACTGCACTCCTGGGCTCCCTTGAAATGCGGTTGGGGTACAGAGTTTTCCCCAAGGATAAATGAAGTAGAAAATAATAGATTGTTCAAGTTATGACCCAAGTATTTATATATAACTAGAGTATACTTAGAATAATGGTTCTCAATCAGGGGTAGTTTTGCCCCCCCAGGGACATTTGGCAATGCATGGAGACATTTTTGGTTGTCAGAAATGAGCAGTACTACTGGCATTCAGTGGGCAGAGGCCAGGGAGGCTGTTAACATTCTACAATGAACAGAACAACTCTCTGCAACAAAAAATTAACAAATGACAGTAGTGCCAAGGCTGACAAACCTGATCTAGAGACCAATAAACTGAGTTTCAGATTTGTCTCCAATTGAGGAAATTCTCACTTTATTTTATTCAGGAGATCATGTTTTATATATACTTGCTGTTTAGATATGGATAGGTCTAAGTGTAGAAATGAGGATGATTTTATCATTCACTTTGAACAGGATTTGTATTTTTTTTTTTTTTTGAGAGAGAGAGAGAGAGTGAGAGACAGAAGAGCATGAGAGGGAAGAGGGTCAGAGGGAGACGCAGACTCCCTGCCGAGCAGGGAGCCCGATGCAGGACTCGATCCCAGGACTCCAGGATCATGACCTGAGCCAAAGGCAGTCGTTTAACCAACTGAGCCACCCAGGCGCCCTGAACAGTATTTGTAGACTGTCATTCCCACCCATAATTACTCACTAATCCAAAACACAATTTACATTCAAATACAGATTAAAGACTATCAAAACTATGTTTTAGGTGTTTTTTTCTATCTCCCATAGTTTATACATTAAAGTAGGTCCAAAGTGTTTCAAGATAACCTCTGAGAATTGGGTTGACTTTTTTTTAATTGCCTCTCTTCCAGCATTATCTAGTTAAACTTCAAATTACATGCACAGTCATTACTCATCTTAATTCATCATCTAATTCACCATTGTATCCTTTGCAGCAGTGGTGAAATTTTTGATAAAAGTCTCTGAAACAGCCAAGAAGTGGGGAGGAAGGGACTAGAACTAATGACAAAGTCCTTTGTAAACCATAAAACACAAAATTAATGTTAGTTTTTGTTAGCAAGAATGTCTAAACCTATAGAGTCTAATACAATATCTACCAGCCACACATGGTGATTTAAATTGCAATTAACTATAATTAAAAATTCAGTTCTTCAGTTCCATTAACTACATTTCAAGTGCTTAACAGCCACCTGTCACTAGTGGTTACCATACTGGAGGGCACAGATATAGAACATTTATCACCACAGATAGGGCACATTCTGGAAATTCTAATGGGATCCTGAAGAAATTTAGTACAGAGAATTAAAATAACATAAACTCAATTTAGTGTAACAGTTTATTTTTTTTTAAGATCTTTTATTTATTTGACATAGAGAGAGAGCACAAGCAGGTGGAGTAGTAGTTAGAGGGAGGGGAGAAGCAGGCTCCCTGCTGAGCAAGGAGCCCAATGTGGGGCTTGATCCCAGAACCCTGGGATCATAACCTGAGCTGAAGGCAGCTGCTTTACCAACTAAGCCACCTAGGCACCCCAACAGTTTATTTTTAAATCCAGTTACAACCCACAATAGAAGAGTATGCTCCATCTGAAAAACAGCAAAATATTAAACTACTTTGTTCTGTTAGATTCTGGAGCCATGTTTGTTATTAACTAATTTAATTAAATATTTCCTGAATACCAACCACATATGCGAAGCACTGTGCTCTACAGAGGCTAGGGATTCAAAGTATTCATTTTTATCATTAAAGGATTTTTATCATTAAAAACTAGCCATCAAACAAATCAATGTATAAATATAATATTCATATATTATATACATTATATATATATTACACTAATATATATTTGAACTGTCAAATGTAATAAAAATACAAGTAGATCTATTTATAATCTCAAAGACATCTCCTTCTCTTTGGAGAGAATCCCTCGATTCTACTGGGACCAGTAGGAAAAATCAATTCCCCACACTTGTTATCTACAAGAGTAGATAACAAACAACCTGGATTGACTACTTGTTTGATTTAGGGTAGATTAAAGACTTTGGAACTGATTTTCTACATTTAAAAATGTTGTATCTTCTACATAAGGTCAAAGTACTTCAAGGACAACCATTATATGAGTGTAAGATAAACTGCAAAGTATTTGCTCTACATAACACAAAGGAATCTTATTCTCTTATTCATATCCTGAGATAGATACTTTATGCTATTTAAGCAGTTTACATTGCCATTCTTCCAACTCAGGCCTCAAGAGTTGGCATTCTTTCACTTGTATTTTTGGATGCCTACTCATCACTTTTAATAACCATTACATTTCTCTCAAGGTAAATACAAATTTCATTTCACTTAAATGTATGTATTTTTCCTTCCTCACACAAGCAGATTCTTATCAAAAACTCCACAGAAGTTACCCACAGATGCGTAAATACTCTTAAGATAGATTTCATCACCATAAAGGAGAGGTTCACTTTATTTAAAATAAGTTCCTAAACTACAGCCTCCACACTTCCACTGAATAGATAAATGATAACAAAACAAATGTTCTTAACATTAACTGTGATTACTTATTTGTACATAGTCCTCAAGGAGCTCAATACCCAATTTCTAAGCCAGCAGTTCTAGAACTTTTGAGTCTCAGGATCCTTTATCACTTTCGAAAAATTACTGAGAACCTCTAAGAGCTTTTATGAAATTATAACTAAGTTGGGTTTCTTGTTTACAAATTCATTTAAAAACAGCAATGTATCCATCATGTTAACATAAACAACACATTTTTTAACAAAAATAACCAAATCAAATTTAGTGACAAATAGCTTAAAGGAAAAATAGCTGGATTCTCCTATCTGCTTCTACAACCATCTTATTGCTTTGGTTGAATACATGAAGAAAATCTGTCTTCGCACACCTAAAACAGTTGGGAAAAGAAGTGTTTTAAGTGATGGTTTCTTTAAAGTTAGCTACAATGTAGAATCTGAAACCATACACCAATGAACTTTCATACTTTTATATTAAAATCCATTAATTTATCTTTCACTTTGAAGGGATTTTGCAACATCATGCAGTGGTCATTTGGAAAATATAAGTTCAGTGAATTATGCAGTATTCCAAATATTAACACATTTCATTAAAGAATATCAAATAATAGCATTTCTTAATATTAACAGTGATCTCATCTTGACTCTTCAGTACACATCTTTTTAATATTCACTGCATCAAAATGGGAAGCATACATAAAGCACTGTGCATATGGAGCAGTTATCTCAAGGGAAAATACTCAATGCATTTGAGTAGCAAGTTTAACTGGCCACTTTTCATAGAATACAACTTTTACTGAAAATATGACAAACTATGATTATTCAGACTTGGGCATCTGGCCAACCTCATGGACCTACTGAAACAATCTGTGGGGAAACCTCAGGACTCCACAGACCTTATTTTGAGAACCACTGTTCTGAGCAATAAGGCAAAAATATTCCATAATTTCACGAGTCATTACAACACCAAGAAAACACAAATGCTAAATAAAAATATCTAATTATTTCTGCTTAAATCCAAAGAAATCCAAGAGACAGAAAACCAGCTCCCAATGTCAAACACATCAGAAACCTAATATTTGGCCCACATAAAAAAAAATCAGACTTAAGAACATAAAATTCTTTTATCAAGCACTTATTTCATCTCCACAACATAAACACTTTTTAGAATACAGGTACGTTAAGACCATAAAAAAAAAAAAGGGGAAAAAAACAAAACTATAGGTATGTCAAATAATTAAGACCATAAATATACAATGTTAATAGTCCATTAGTAATAGTGAATGCTATTACCAGGCACTGTGCTAAGCACTTCATATGATTATTATATTTAATCCTCAAAACAAACCTGTAAGGTAAGTCTGACCAATTCCCATATCACACATAATGAAACTGAAATACAGTGTGCCTAAGAGCAGAGGAAGGATGGATGGTAGAGCTATCTAAAGCTAGCCTCCTTCACCTACCCACATACTGCCTCCTGCAGCAAAGTTGAACGCTCATCCCATGGAAAAATTATGGATCAGTCTCTGGCTGAAGAGAGTATTTTAAGAAAAAAAAAAAAAGTATGACTATTAAAATAACAAGAGGCAAACTCACAGTTTTTAGTTCCATAAGAACTTGTTCATCAACTCCATCATCCAAAAAGATGTCTCTCACATCATTAATAACATCTTCAATCACAGATCTGTACAATTTAGGCTTTAAAGGAAAAATAAAGAAAAAGATCATTTTTCACATATTCAAAACAAATTAAATATAATACAACAGTCATTTTTCCAACTAATCAAAATTTATTTTAGAAGATGTAACTTTAAAGATATGGCCATCCTAACAAACATCATTTGCTTCAATTAAAATGGATTATTTTATGACTGCATATTTTAAAAGAAGTCTTAAAGACTAATACAATTCATATAGTTAAGTCCTTACATATACAAGGTCCACACAATTTCCAGTTATAATTTCCTATGATGTTGTTATAATCAAAACACCTAATGTGACCCAAAAAATAGCCTTATGGGTTGCTAGTATCTGGTTCCTATTATTCTTTCCTTTGACTTCTGTTAGATCTCACAACCTCCTCACTAAGCCTTAACTTACGTCCTTCAGTCATTTGCCTGATAACATCTGCAATCTAATTTAAAAATCACGTAATTTCTATTTTCTGTCAACCAGTCTGTGCCTTTAAGCTACACCATTAAACTGTTCATATACCCACAATAACAGGTCTTAAAGCCCCAGATGAACAAGGCACACTGACTTCTTTCCCAGAATTTCTTTCCTTCAACTACTGCCCAGACGATGCCATGAAATAGAATCATGGACATCCTCAATGTTTATTTTTCTAATTATTATTACTATCATTGTTGGTATTACTTGGGAAGGGTTGGAGGGGAAGATTGTTTCTAGAAGGTTGCCAGAAGAATAAAAGGAGAATAAATGTGAAAGCACTTTCAAAAGTATAAAGTATTTTTTAAAAATCAAAAGGTAATAGTAATTTGCCCAACCCACAACCTATTTTTAACATGTTAAGCAAGAAGTCTGCATGTCAGTGTGATAAAACTAGAGCTATCTTGTTATAAATCCTATCCATTATCACAGTTAAGGTTATCAGCCTTTTTCTTTTAATGTTTGTCATTATTTGTGTTTTATAGCCTGCTAAGGTAAGAACTACTGGTTCTTACCTTAAGAACTACCCAATAAAACCAAGGGTTTGCTTTCATAACCAAACCTCAAAGAGAAATGTTTCACTAGCATCTCTAACAGCAATATTGTTATCACAGGAGAACCCTCTAAGAAAATGTGTTCTTGCAGTGCCAAAACTACAAATAATGAGTTCCTCTGTATAACTTACCTCAACCATTAAAATTTGCTCCTTTTCATCATAACCAGAAAAACAATTCATATATCTGGGTTCTCACCTTTGCTATTCCATTCACTAACCTGCTTTATTTTACCAAATCTGCCTCTGTAAACTTTTAAGTTATTCATGTGCAAAATGTGAAACTCTATAGGGCCTCCTTATTTTAACATTCTGATCCTACATATAAGGAAATTGTCACTGACTATAGATTATCATTTTATCTATGGTGATTTAACCAATGAATTACAAAAATAACATTTAAAAAGTGGTTTTCTTTAAGCCAATAATACTACTTAATGCACTATAAAGAGGAGGTGTAATTTTAAATTGTTACTATGAATCTTAAGTTGATGACATAAATTATTTTTTCAGCAAACTGGATGTTTGGTGTTCTCTGAAGTCAATCACTCCTAAAAATCTTCAGCTTGGAGATCCAGACATTTACAGCTACAAAACTTGCTTTCTTCTGGCGCTCCCTATTTAATGAATTTATCTTGTTTTAGGATTTTGCTTATGCGCCTTAGTTAACCTACAAGTTGACCATTTAATTTCATAAAAGCTCTAAAGGGAAATGTGTATTCTTCATGACATATACACAAAGAATAATTTAGCAGAACTGTTCATAAATTGGTAAGCCCCCATAATACTCATGTTTTTAAAAGCATGGGGGTACACAGGCACTCCCTAAAATAAGCAATTTCCAAGTTATTATTTAAAATGCTAAACCTTACTTAAGCTAAAGTTTTTGCCTTTTACAAAATACAGAGTAATTTAGGTTTGTCCTGGTTTTCAAAACACAGATATTCCAAACTGGTAAACTGAAGAGCCATGACAGTCACTATCTAATGATTATTTAGAAGGTTCCTTTCCAAAGTGTTAGTTCCCTGGGGGAACACTGGAAAGTAAATCAGGTTAACTTCCATCTAGAATATTAATATCCAATGAAATAAAAACACTGCCAACTTATAATTTTTTTGAGATCCAGTTTGCACTAAGCCTCCTTACTCTCATTACTCACAATTCGCCTATACATAAATGTACTGTGGACATAAGGTCCTAGTTGAGGCTTTTAGGCACTTTACTGTTTCTTCAAAAAGCTTCGTGTCTCCAACACTTAATATAGAAAAACAACGGCATATTAGAAGCTTTATTTCTAACATATATTCTGAATACTTGAAGAACAGAACACTACCAAAGTACCCTGCAGCTAACAGTTAATGTAGGAAGCATTTTTTTTAATTCCCGACAGTAACACATTCTCCAATACAAAAACGATTAGACAACTGAGCTACAATTCTCTTTAAAAGCAAAAATAAAAATAAAAAGAAGGTACAGCAATTCTATTTTCCCCTAACAAAGACAGGAAACCCCAGCTGCTGCATCAAAACAACAAAAAACTTGGGACTCTGAAAGCTGCCCTTTTGGGTGCGAAATTACAGCGTAAGGAAAGGACCTAGAAATAAACTGAGCTCTGCACGCTCCTGCCTCTCGCCTCGGGAGCACGCACCTCCCAGCCCCGCTCTCAGCAGCTCTCACTATTTAAAGCCGGATCTAGTGTTTAAATGGAGAGGCGGTGACGTAGGCCTGAAAAGCACCTTCCCATCCTGGCAGAGTCTATATTAGAGAGCGGCAATGGCTCTATATAAACAGGGCAGCCAAAGGGAGGAGGACCACAAGGCTCAGGGACTGAAAAGCAGGGTAAGCGGCCGCAGCCATGATGGATCGACCCGAGTCGCCAACGGTACGGAGTCGGGCGGCCGCGGGCTTGTCTGCGGCGTTTGGGACCGGGCAAAAACGTGTTTTATTGTCAGAATAAAAATAAGAGTGGGGTGGACTAGTGATCACATTGCGTTGGTGACGGACAAGGTTATTTATGTGACTGCTTTTTGCAAACCTACGTGATCGCAAGTAACCAAAAAGGGACAAATGGGAAGAAGTAGGCAAATTTCAAGGCGAAAGCAGGGGCACTGTGACCACTGTAAGCTTTTTTTGTTTGCTTTGGTGCTTTTGCTAGTGGAAGATACGATGGGGGTTTTGCTTCCCCTTCGCCATTTTACCGATTCGGAAGGAACCGAGATAAGTGCTTTTCAACCTTCGTCTTTTTTTTTTTTTTTTTTTAAGAAATATAAAATGGCCCCAGTGAAGGTTCCCTAAGCACAACCGCCAGAAACACCCCAAGTAACCCCTAAAGTAGCCGTTCACCTTCCACTGCATTGAAGTGGACCACTGTGGGTCTTAGGGACTCGCCCAATTCCCTAGACGCGGTTTTTGTTTCGAGGCTGCTCGGGGTGCCCTTCTCTAGACAGCGCGGCCGGGCCCGCTTCGGGGAGGAAGCGGTAGCTTCCCATCCGCCCACCCTCCCGGCGGCCGGGGTCTGGGGCCAGGGCCGCGCGCTCGCCCCGGCCCAACGGCCTCCGCGGCCCGGACCGCCCCGCGGCGGCCCCAGGCCCCGCCGGTGCCCCCGCCCTCCCGCCGCCACCGCCGCCGCCGCCGCCGCCGC